CTGTGCAGTACCTTTCCAGTCAGTGCTCAGAGCTTTGTGTAGCTGGGTCCATACCTACTCTTACTTCTGTTTTTGATAGCTCATTCTTATATTTCTGTATCGGTGACTTTTTATCTTGACTTTCTTCTGTACAGTTTCACACACATGACTCCTAATCACCATCTTGCTACCATTTACCTGTATTTTTTTTTAAATAAACTCATATGAAATAGATGAATAAATCTGCTTCATGGCATATGGACCCAACAGGAGTTCTTATTTATAGCTTTGAAGGAACTTTCTTGCTTAAAATGAGAATTTCTCTGTATAAAGAGTTTTTGAAATATGTTAATTTTGTAACTGAAGGTTTACTTGACATGTATGTTTTAGTTTAGGAAATGCCAGTTAATGAAACAAACATTTTCAGCTACACCTTTAATCACGTTACTGGGGACGAAGAGGTGGATTTCTGTAAGTTGTAGGTCAGCCTGGTCTATATAGTGAGTTTCAGGCTAATCAGTACTACATAGTAAGCTTGTGTCTCAAAGAAACAAACAAAAAACCCATACCCCACTTGTATAATATGGTTTCAAGAGTAAAAATTCCCAAGCCAGGCATGATGGCACATGCTTTTAACCCCAACAATTAGGAAGAGGCAAGGCAAATGAATCTCTATGATAGTTTGAGGCCAGCCAAGGCTACATAGTAAGACCCTGTTTAAAAAAAGGAAATAGTGGAGACTTCCTGCTTTATCTTTCATGGTATTGCATATATGCCTTAGAATACCTTAAGCTTGTCTTGGCTCATTTATATTCAAGGTTGATTTGTTTATAACTTCTTTCAGGATCGCATTGTATCAATGACTCTTGACAAAGAATATGATGTTGCCGTGGAAGCAATTCGATTGGTTACTCTGATACTTCAGTAAGTATAGTATCTGTTAACTATTTAATCTTTTAGTAGTTAATACTTTTTTCTGGATTAGTACATCAAATAAATACTTCATATGAAGAATCCACTTTTATTTTTTAAGGTCCTGTTTATAACCAAATGTATTTTAGGTGGTGTTTTTTATTTTGAAACATGGTCTCACACTGCAGCCTAGGTTTGGAATTACTATGTAATGTAGACTAGCCTCAAGTTGGAAAAATTCTTCTGCCTTGACTTGCTGAATTCTAGAATTATAGATATGAATAGTTTTTCATTTGAATTGATGTTTGTTTCCTCCAGGTAAAGTTACTTTGTGTAGTTTAGGAAAGTTAGCTATGAAATGTCATACTTTGCTATTTAAAACAAAAGCTCAAAGCTTCAAAATGAAAAGGTTTTCAAATAGATATTTTATAAACATAGAAGTGAAAGAAATTAAACGTGACTATTCCATCAATTTTTAAAGTTTTAAAGAGATAAATGATTTTATAGCTTTATAGTGTTTACTGAGCTAGAAAAATTCTGTTAGATAATGTGTGTTCTAGTAAAATTGTTTTTTACAAAATTCTCACCGGGCGGTGGTGGCACACTTCTTTAATCCCAGCACTCAGGAGGCAGAGGCAGGCGGATCTCTGTGAGTTCGAGGCCAGCCTGGTCTACAAAGTGAGTTCCAGGAAAGGTGCAAAACTACACAGAGAAACCCTGGGGGGAGGGGCGGGCGGGCAGGGAGATTCCCATCTCACTGCTTTGTTAATACATCTGTCCTGATTTGGGTATCTGCTGCTCAAATGTCAGAATTTGCATGGGTTCCTTTTTCTGTGTCTTTTCCATGCTTTTTATCATTGTAGCTTTCTAATATATCATGTGTTATACATGAGACCTCCTGTCTTACTAGATGATTCTCTCCTCTAGTTTTTAAATCTTACTTGACTAATTCTCATATTTTTTTCTATTGTGGGAATTTTTAAAACATACATGTCAAATGCCTTTGATGTGATTTTGAATGTAAGAACTGGACAGTGGCCAGGTGGTGGTTGTGCATGCCTTTAATCCCAGCATTTGGGAGGCAGAGCCAGGCAGATCTGTGAGTTCAAGGCCAGCCTGGTCTACAAAGCGAGATCCAGGACCGGCACCAAAACTGCACAGAGAAACCCTGTCTACAAACAAACAAACAAACACACAAACAATGAACTGTACAATGGACCTGACAGTGGTGGCAAACCCTTTAATCTCCTCACTTGGGAGGCAAAGGCAGGTAGATCTATCTCTGAGTTCCTATCCAGCCTGCTCTACAAAAGCTAGTTCTATGAGAGTCACATACAAAAAACCCTGTCTTGAAAAACAAAACCAAACAGAAAAAGACTGGATGTTGCCTGCCTTTAATCCTAGCAGTGTTAATCCCAGCACTCACTCTGTGAGTCCTAGGACAGCTAGGGCTACATTTAAAAAACAAACAAACAAACAATCGTATTTTGTAATGTTATGAAATTTTCATTTGTTTTTTTTTTTTTTTCATTTCTGTCTTCAGATATTTAAGTGTGTTTTATATGTAGGGTTTATTCATGTGTATATGACCACAATGGTGTGTATTTTTTACATAAGCTAACTATTAAATACTATGTAGTTTTAGTGTCATTATTAGCATTTAGTATTTTGTACTTAATTATTGCAAGGTAAAGAAACCTTTAATTTTATGTTGGTTTTTTTTATGTTGATCTTATGTACAGCATATTAGAACTCCTAAACATGTAATGTTTTCTTGATCCTGTTGCTTTTACCATGTAGATTAGAATAGTATGGACAAATGATTTCAGCTTCCTAACTTTATAATTCATATTTCCTTACCTTGTCTGATTGCATAGCCAAGACCTTCTGCTTTATTAATACTATCCTTCATAGCAGATATTTTTGGTTTTGTTATTGAAGTAATTTAAAATTTTATTTCTGTGTTATATTTTTATAAATTGGTTATTGGATGTGTTTGTTTTATTTTTACTTGTACTGGGAACATAGACCAGGGCCCAGTGTTCCTATACAAGTACTAGATGTCTAAGCTACATGCTCAGTCTAAGTATATTTTGGTTTATGTTGAAAATTTTTCTTTATTCTGAGTGCTGTAGGATTTTTTAAATTTATTAATTAGCCTGAATTAATATATCGCTAATTTAAACCACTTTTGCCCTACTTGAATAAATTGTATTTGAACATATCATACATTGTTTTACTTAAATATAACATTACAATAGATTGCTTTTATATGTATGTTCATGAATAAATTGACACACTTTTAACCAAAGTAATTTTTAATTAATAGTTAGAAACAAAAATATATGTGGGAATGGTAGCATAACATTGGTACAGTGTTTTACTAGCATGTACATAGCCCTGGGTTTTACCTCTATTCACTACAAAAGGATAATCTAAAAAATTTCCATATTAAAAGAATAAAATGATTTTTGATATTTGTACCAATGTTTAAAACAGGTTAAATATATCTTTAATCACTAACATTTCTTATAAATACTTTCAAAGTCAAGTCTTTCATCCCTTTGTCTTGGCTGAAATGTATTGTTATTGCCATTTAAACTCACTTTGTACCCTGTGCAGTTCAGAACTTAGTGTTCTTATGTAACTTAGTGCCTACTGTCAACTTTTCTTCTAGTCTTTGTACTGTATTAGTCTTCAGTCATAGATATTGACTTGCCTTTCATATATTGTTGCTTGATATGCTTCATATACTATGCTATGCTACACATATGATATGCTTCAATACATATATACTAATGTTTGTAATTTTTTTTACCCTCATATACCATTCTTCCTAATCATTTCTGAAAATTTCTTTCCTTTTAAAAACATATTTTAATATACTAAGCTAAATTACTTCTTTCAAGAGTGTTTTCAAACCTTCCAAAACCTTGTTTAGCTGGAGGGAAATTCTTCTTTTTGCCATAAATTTGGAAAATAGGTTGTCTAATTTCAAAAATCTCCATAGAATTATTTCCCTGAATTTTAACTGGACTAGAAAGAACAGAAAATGTCTGATGTTTTACAGATGTAATTGTGGCCCTCTATCTGTGTCTTACCTAGAGCACTGGTTATGTCTATTTTTTTTTGTACATTCTTCAGAGATCTCTGACTGCTCTAGAAATTTGTGATTACAAATATCTCATAGAGGGCAATGAATCCTTTGTCTCTTCTACATTATCACCCAGAGCCTGACTTTCAAATTTTCTATGTTTAATCTACCCTATAGACAGTTTTATTGGGCAATATCTTTTAAAACTATCCATGCAGGCTCAATTTTAATATTACATATATGGCCTATAGGAAACCAAGAGCTTACGGGTAGAGGAAGAATGAATTCCTCAGAGCCCTCCATCCCTTATGTTTTTCTCTGCTTCTGTGGACTCCTTCAGTCAGTCTTTTTCTTTTCGAACTCTTTATGGCCTTGCTGTGTACCAGTTCATAAACATAACCTAAGGATATATTTTATAAAGTTGTCATCGTTTTCTGAGACTTGATATGTATTATTGGTTTCATAAATGCTTCGTGATGGGGCTAGAGAGACGACTCAGCAGTTAGGAGCACTGCCTGCTAGTTTCAATTCCCAGCACCTACATGACAGCCTGAACTGTCTATAACTCTAGTTCCAGGAGATCTGACACCCTTTTTGAGCCACATTCACCAGGCTCACATATGATACACAGACATATTCAGACAAAGCACCCATACCCATAAAAAATAAATAATAAATAAAATCTGTAAAGGTTTTATTATTCTCTTAACACTGTTTCATATTTTTTTAAAAAAGTCATGTGTGCTGATACAATTTCATAGTGTCCTATTTTTATCTAGCTTAGTTTTTTACTTGATAATGAGCTAAGAATCAAAGTTTAGCTTACCAGTCTCTTATAGAATGTGCATGAAATGACCTGGCTTTACTTCTCTTGACACGTAGGATTAGTGGTAAACCTTCCTAAATGACAGGTAAAGTCACATTTTATATCCCATTATCAACTCCTTTAAATATTTTTGTGCCATCTGTCAGTTCTGCTACTTTTTTCCTTTTTTTCCAACAAAGTCTTAAACAACCTAGCTCAGTCTGGCCTCAAACTCTCTCTTCCTTTCTCAACCTCTGGAATGGTGGGATTACAAGCATAATTCTACATTTGTAGAATATTTTTTATGAGTTTGTATTTCTGAGATGTAACTTTAAATTGGTTTTTTTCCTCCGTATGTGTTTACTTTTCCTGAGGCTACTTTCCCATTAGGCTGATAATATATAATTTGTTTCAGGAGCCTGAGCCTGTTGCCTCTCTTTAAAATTCACGGGATACAAATTGGGCATTTATAGATATATTTGTTTTAACCTAGCAACTCTTCCTTAGCAGTCCTGAAGCCTATTTGCCTCAGTTATAGTCTTTAGCTGCATTAAGTTAGTTCTCCTAGACCTAGTGTTCTTCCCTTCCAGTGTCTGTAGATAATAAGACTGTTGCCTGATTATACTATACTATCTGCCTCACCATAAGGGAACAAGCATTGGTGCGGTGGAAGGGAGAATATATTTAAACACTTGGAGTTTGTCTGCCAATTTGACATTTATGGTTTTCAGCCAAAACTACAGTTTCTCCTTGGAACTAATTTAACCACAGTCCTTTGCTGCCAAGAGCATTCTGATTTTTATTTACTAGATTTCTGAAGAGCTTGGGTCCTAGGTCATCTATATACATTTGAGAATCTATGAAATAAACTTGTAACTCTGTATGTTACCAGGGTCCTGTGCAGCTCAGTAATTACGTATTCAAATTAACTTAAGCTATAATCATATTCATCATTTAAAAATATATTAATCATCAGAAAATGAATGTTTCATTTTTGGGCTAAACTGCTTCAAACACATTTTGACCATTTAAGAAACACGGAATTATGAGTAAATAAAAAATGAGTAAATGACAGGAAAATTGTGTTAGTAAAGGGATGGCTGGGACTGGCAAGATGGCTCAGTTCATAAAGAGGTTTGCCACCAAGCCTGATGACCTGAATTGAATCCCAGGGCCCCACATGGTAGAAGAAAAAAACCATCTCTCACAAGTTGCCCTTTGACCAAAGAACTGGTATACACACAAATAAATAAACCAACAAATGTAATATTTAAAAGAATGGCTGTATTTAGTGGGAAGACTAACATTGTAAAGAGGTGATAAGATACTATTTTGTTGATACAGTTCTAGGAAGAAAAGTTACCTAGCATGATTAGTTGTATGAAACAAGGACAAATATATTCCTTAAGCATGTTTAAAAAAAGAAATAAAAGCTTTGTGCATATTTAAAGAGCATGCTTATTTGGTCTGATACGTACTCTGAGATACTGACTGTCATTATCTGTGGATACTTCACATGGAAAAATTTTGAAATTTTTCTTTTATTTGAATTTTATTTAGTGAATACATTTATAATTAGTGGGAAATAATACTTTTACAGTAATAGAAAACTAAAATCTGTGTTTTCAGCTTTTATAATCACTTTACAGAAATTAAATGAGGGGTCACGTAAATCAAAAGTTCCTGTGGTTCTGATATTACTTTACATTTTCAGTGGAAGTGAAGAAGCTCTTTCCAATGAAGACTGTGAAAATGTTTACCATTTGGTGTATTCAGCACATCGCCCTGTTGCTGTGGCAGCTGGAGAGTTCCTTCACAAAAAGTGAGTCAGTTATCCTGCAAACAGGCTCCACTTTTGTGTACTGAAAAAAGAGAGAGTTCAGTTGTTAAAAGCACTTACTAATAATCTTCAATAGTGGAAGAGACTGAACATAGGACTTAAAATGTCCTCTTCACTGTGCTTGAACGCTCTCATAGCTTTGTAGCCTGTTTCCTGTATCATGGCTCACATCTGGGAGAGTGGTGAGCCTTGTGTCATATTCCTCTTCAGTAAAATCTGAAATACGGTTCTTAGCCGGGTATGGGAATAGACTTTTAAAGTTTATGAAGTCTTGTTTCTTTTCAAAATCTCAGCTCATGCCTTTGTTATGTGTATTATATAATCATGAAGTTGTACCCCATTGCAAGTGTCTTCCATCCTTTCATGGCTTCTTTTCCATTGTTTCCTTGGGAATCATTATTGTGATATATAGCAATTCTGAGAGCTATGTATATATTAAAGTTGATATTAAGTTACTTCTAATTTTTGGCTGACTATAGCACTTAACTAGAGTGAAATTCACTTTTTGATTGTGAACTATTATATATATTGTAAATTTATTAGTGAATTAATTTATTCTCACAATATTAACATTCTTGTTTGTGTACATATCTTTTGCTTTGTTTTCATTTTGGGGTTTTTTGCTCAGACTTAGTGAATTCGGTTGTGGATTCGGTTGTGAGCAAGGCAGAACCTAAAGGTCCATTACATGTACTAATTTATGATTTTACAGAAGCATAGTAAGACATGTACTGTGCATCAGTTCTACATGGATGATAAGCTATGATAATAAGCAGGCTTGGCATCCTACAGTATCTAATTTGGTGTTGCAACAGTGTTCTAGTCTATTACTACTCATAATGAGAAAAGTTTTCTGTTTAAAATCTTTCTTAAATAGTAGCTAGCTGCTAGTACATGTTGATACTGAAAGTGAAAAGGAAGAATTCAAGGTTTTCGTTGACCTCATGGCCACTCACACATGCCAGGCAAGCATTCTACTACTAAGCTACACCCCAGCCTTCTTAGGCATGAATTTTAAAATAGCAATGGCTTTGCCAGTTACTCTGACACCTTTGGCTAATAGAATAAGGGAATTTCCATATTTTCTTGGGATATTGTATGCCACAAACGTCAATAGTATATCAGAATCTGCCCTTCCTTCCTCAGAATATTACAGTATATTTGGCCTCAGTTGTCCACTTAACTTTTTAAACTGTTTTATGATTTTAGAAGGAATTTATTGCTTCTATAACTTCACTAAGAACATCAAGGACTTTGTTTAATATATACATCACCTATATTATATATATATATCATATAATCTATATATAGTTAGTATATAATCTATCATATATATGATAGAGACCATAAACTACAGACATTTATTTTATTATATGACTGAGTTTAAAATATTTGCTAGAAATTTTAATTAGAATATTTTACATGACAGTTCAGAATAGGTAGCCTCTACTCTGTCTTATTTCTTTGTGAAAATCAGCCTAATTCTTATGCAAATTATGAAAGCTTTTTCTATTAATGCTTTCAAACTCCTCTCAGAAAAGTTCAAAGCTGGGTGGTGGTGGTGTACACCTTTAATCCCAGCACTCAGGAGGCAGAGGCAGGCGATCTCCGTGAGTTAAAGGCTAGTGTGGTGCACAGAAAGAATTCCAGGACAGCCAGTGTGGTTAAACAGAGAAATTCTGTCTCAGAAAACAAAAAATAAAAATAAAAATTCACATTTCAGTAACTTCATCTTTAATAACTAATTTTAGCATTTTTCTATCATTTATATAATAAATATTAAAAATACTAATAAGCAAGCTGTAGTATAGCCATAGAATTTTCAGTATTAAGTTTTGGTGTGCACATAGTCCCAACAATTCAGGAGGTTGAGATAAGAAGAGGATTGTGCCGGGCGGTGGTGGATGCATGCCTTTAATCCCAGCACTTGGGAGGCAGAGGCAGGCAGGTCTCTGTGAGATCGAGGCCAGCCTGGTCTCCAAAACAAGTTCCAGGAAAGGCGCAAAGCTACACAGAGAAACTCTGTCTTGAAAAACCAAAAATAAAATAAAATAAAATAAAAAATTTTAAAAATTCTACATTTTTTAATTTTTGAGAATATAATATAATATTATAATCTTCCCTTTCCTCCCTCCAGACCCATTCATGTACCTCTTCTTGCTTTCTTTCAAATTAATGGCTTCTATTTTTATATGTGTATATTTAGAAACACACACATATGTGTGTGTGTGTGTGTGTGTGTGTGTGTGTGTGTGTGTGTGTGTGTTATATAACCAGCTCAATCTGAATAGTGTTTTTCGTGTATGTTTGGGGGCCGACCATTAGATCTTGAATAACTAGTTGACATGCTCATCTCTGGGAAAGACTATTTCTCCCACTCTCATCATTCCTTAGTTGCCTGTAGTACTTTGTGTAGGGTTGAGGCCTTGTGGCCTTTCCTCTGTCTGTTTTGTTGTGCTTGTTCATGTCATATTTAGGCCGTCATGTTGGTAAGACATTATGAATATAGATTCTGAGATTAATAGGAGACACAGTCCCTGATCCTCTGACTCTCACAATCGTTACCCCTTCTCTTTCACGATATTTCCCTGAGCCCTTAGGTGGTAGCTGTACTCACACAATTCTGTATTTTGATAGGTTGTGGCTTGTTGTAATTGTCTCCATCGGTTACAAAGAGAGGTTTCCTTGATGGAGGGGTAGGACTACATTTATCTGTGAGTACAAGGACATGTATTTAGAATGTTTATAGTTAGAGATTATGCTAGTTTAGTAAAGTAAGTGGTAGTTATATGGTCTTCTCCTTGAATCATGACTTTACTAGTCCTGGATAGTTAGTTTGGTTTCTAAGACCAGGCATGGTTTCCCTTTCATTGAGGTGGGTCTTAAGTCCAACTAGAAATCTGTTGGTTACCGCCAAGGTTTAAATGCTATTACTGCACCCTTAGGGTTATATAACTTGCCATGCCAATTGTTGTGATTTACAAGCATAATATCTGGGTAGGATTGATGGCTGCCTCCCTCCACTGGAAATTGACATGGTACCTTCTGGTACCGTCAAAGCTAGTCTTCAAAGAAGAGGCATTAAGATCAGTTCCAGTTCAGGAGTCTCTGTGCCATGTCTGAAGTGCATAGTTTCCTCAACAATAGGAACTTACCTTCCATCTCTTGGTGGCTACAGGGGCAATACTAATAGCCTGTGTGTTTTAGCAATCTCTTGAGCAACCTTGACTAAAAATAAAAACAAAAAGAGGACTTCTCAAACCTAGTGTTGAGATTTTTGCTAGGTAGCCTTTGGCTTTTGGAGGGAGTGTTTTAAGGACTTTCATCTAAAGTGTGTACATATATTTAGGCACATACTTAAGATATTCCAGGGTTTTGTTGTTATTTGTTAAGAGTTAATGGTATAATTCCTCCTGACTTTTTCAGACATCCTTGCTGTTATTTTACCCTTCTTCCTCCTTTTTCTGTTATTTATATTCTCCCCCTCTCCCCTACTAGAGCTCTCCCTTTTTTCCCATTTCCCTGACAGATCACTTACACCCTTTTATTCCCCTCTGTTACTCCCTCATACCCCTACCCCAGCACTGGCATCTTTTTACTTTCCTGGTTTCTGTAGCTACTGCAGGATAGAATATCACATTTGAAGATTTGTAGCTAGGAGACTCCGATGGGAGAGAATCCATGATATTTATCTTTCCTAGTCAGAGTTACCTCACTAAATATAATCTTTCCAAGTTCTGTACATTAACCTTCATATCTAATGATTTCATTTTACTTTATAGTTTAATAGTATTTCATAGTGTATATGTACCATATTTTTGTTATCCATTTGTCAGTTGGAAGACATATAGGTTGTTTTGATTTCTTAGCTTTTGTGAGTAGAGCAACAGTGAACATAGCTGAGCAAATATCTGTGGAGTATAGGGTAGAGTCCTTTGGACATAGGCCAAGTTTTGGTGTAGCTGGGTCATAGGATAGATTCATTTTTAGCATTTTGAGGATTCTCCACACTGATATCCATAGTTTGTAGTCCCTCTAACAGTGAATGAGTATTTGCCTTTCTCCACATCCCCTACATCATTTATTTCAGTTGTTCTGTTGATCTTTATCATTCTGACGAGGGTGAGATGGAATTTCAAAATTGTTTTGATTTGCATTTCCCTAATTGCTAGGGTTGGTGAACATTTTTTTTTTATTAGATACTTCTTAGCCATTTTTTTTTCTTTTTTCTTTTTTTTTGGAATTCTCTCTGCTTAGATCCCAGGCCAGTTTTTCAACTGGATCTTTTTTTTTTTCTTCTTCTGTTTGTTGAGTTCTTTATATGTTCTAGATATTAATCTTCTGCTAGATGTATAGCTGGCAAAGATTCACTCCAATGCTGTGAGTTTCCTCTTCACCCAGTTGATTTTACTTTATCTGTGCAGAGGGTTTTTAGTTTTACGGAGTTCTACTAGTCAGCTCTTGACCGAATTCTAGGGCAAATGCAGCCCTATTCAGAAAGTCCTTTTCTGTAGGGTACTACATATGTTTTCTTCTAGCCATTTCAGAGTTTAAGGTTTCACATTTAGGTCTTTGATCCATTTGGAATTAGTTTTTATGCACAGTGATAGATATAGTTTGTTTGATGTCATTTTCTGCATGTGGCCATCCAGTTTCCACAGCACCATTTGTTGAAAGTGTTTTCTTTTCCCCAGCTTATGTTTTTGTCATCTTTGTCAAATATTAAATAGCTGTAGTTATATATACACTCCATGTTTGGGTCTTCAGTTTTGTTCTGTTTTTATAACAATACAATAGTGTTTTATTACTGTGGCTCCATAGTATATCTTAAGATTTGGACTGGTCATCTCTCTTTGCTCAGAAATATTTTGGTTATCTGGGGTCTTCTGTAGTTCCATATGAATTCTAGAACAGTTTTTTTCTTCTATTTCTTAAAGAATGAGATGGAGATTTTGATTGGGATTGCATTGAATTTATAAATA